TCCTGAGAAAATATTTCTATTAAAAAAACCCAGAAATCTCAAGAGTGTGTGCTAATTATAGTTACAGCAGCAGCCCTGTTTTTTAAGGACTTTTGAAGGACAAAGCTTCAAATTTGAATATTTCTGTGAGCTTAAAGGAATATTTTCATTCCTTGTGGTAGTCATGCTTTAAGCATATAATCTCATAGATTATAATAATTCTCAGAGCAACCATAGTGTTATTATGAGGAGATAAAATGCATTCCTGATCTTGAAGGTATTCTTTAGCCACTTACCTTTCTCTCCCAACCATTACACTGAAATTATTTTGCCAGACTGATGTATTTTTAGACTTTTGGATTTAATCCAAGTTTACTGCATAATCTTGACATGACTGCTTAATCTCGGTGCTGTATTCTTTAAATTTCTCTGATTAGAAAAAGCCTTTCTAAATCAAGGGTCATTTAAAAATAGTTTACCAACCTTTCCCTTAAATATTTTGCAGAAATTAAACGCAGTCACTAGGTCTCTATCTGTGTTACACTATTGTACATCAGCTGGTCCATGTGAATCCCTGGGATTTACCTTACTAAAACCATAATCCCTTGACTTGATTTGATAGTTAGATTGTATGTGTGGCAGAGGCTTTAGGCAGAAGAATCAAATACATACTTGGAATTATTTCTGACGTGGGTGGTTGCAACAGGGATTTTCAGTGGCATATTTCTTAGAACAAAATGATTTCATATGTTCCAAGGACCAGTGAAAGTGAAATCAAATGCCTGAAATGCGTTGGACTCTGGATTGCTCCTGGTTCCTGACAGTCAGTTCTGATGCTGAATTGGTTTGTAACCCTTTGTGGAACAAACTCAAAGCCTGGCATAGTGAATGATTAAATATTCCTCTCTTATGACCAGAAGACTGCTGCTAAATGTTACACTTTGTGCTCTCAAGCCTCAAATCCCTCATGTAAAACCCCACAGAATGTCTGGGTTGGGAAAGAAGTCTCAGATCATTAGATAATAATTGGGGGGGGAAAAAAAAGGAAGGACTGTATTATTGAGCAGATATGATGTATTTTACACAGTGAATGGGATCTCATCTCCTTCATCCTTATTTTCACCACAGTTCACATGGTTTCCTTTTCCAGCTCTGCCACTCTTCAGCTGGCTAATATATGACAGCCCAATATTGTAAATTAAAAAATGGAGGAAGGCAGGATCTCTGGCAGTTTAGATTTCTTACCAACAATAAAAGACTCACTTTCTGACATGTTTCTGTGCAAATGTGTGAAACCCATTTACTTGCTTGAGAATGTATGACCAACAAGGATGGGAATCTACAAACACCTGTGCAAACTTTTTTAGGCATAATGAAGTAAGAAAAATATAATCCCTTTTGCGGTGCTTTTTGTGCATTGGGAAGCCTTTTCTTTTGTGGTGCATATATCAGAGAGGCCTTTTCAGTTTTAATCTGTGGATGAGAAGTGCTGTACCCCAAGCCTGGGGTTTTTGGTATTTGTTTTTTATACAGGTCAGAAAGCAGCAGTGGTGTTTGCTGAGGTGTCAGGATTCAAGCCAGGCTGAGTGGTGAGGCTGGCCTACAAATCTGGGGTGTATCTGATGGATATTACCAGAAGGATATTAGATTACATAATTTATTATTTTGATAATTTCTGATTGATATTATCTGATGTATATTATTATTTGCCATGTGCCCGGTGGGTCCTGAATGTTCTCCTTCCACATCCCTGGGACTCTCTGGGGCTTGCTGGGGTCTCCCCAAAGTCTGGAGTGTGATTTTCTCCCATTGCTGGGTGCTAACACACCTTCAGGGTGGGCCTCCAGGGTGGTTCATTGAAACTGGCACTTCAAATCAGCCTCTGAAATGAAGTGTTTTTTGCTGGGAAAGGCCCCAGAAGCTTCATGACTCTGAATAACTTGCAGTAGCTCTTGTGAACAGATTTCTCTTTGTGTAGCTAAACCCTTAAAAGTGGATATTATTATTATATCATCAAAACTTTGGACAAGTTAATTACTATGGTCAGGAATCATGTGCTGTTTTATTAATCTCAGGCTAATCTTAGAATGGTTTGGTTTGGAAGGAACCCTAATGACATCTTGTTCCAGCCCCCTGCCATGGGCAGGGACACCTATTGGATACAGAAATGCTGTAACTGGAGTGAGAGGTTTTGACATCTTAACTGAAATAGAAAAGAAAATGTGCATCTTTAGTTTCTTTAAAGTATATGGTGCAGAATTTACTGTGATACAGATATTCCTCTGGGGTGAGGTGGATTTTAAAGTTGCAATACTGTAATTTATCTCTCTATCCAGCACATACTTTTTTTTAATCTTTGGTGATAGTGGAAGCTATAAAAGTATTAGCTTTTTGATAAGGTGTTTAATGTGGAGATTTATGTCTATTCAGCACCTGTATTTTTAATCTTTGGTAATAGAAGAAGCTATAAAAATACCAGGTTTTTATTGAAGTGCACAAAAGAAAACATCTGAAGGTGAGACTGGATTTTTTGCATAACACAATCTAAAGACAAGTACATGAACAGAGTGATTAAATAATATTGAAAGAAGTAATTCAGTGAAACTAGCAATGCTGTCAGGTTAACTTTGTGTTTGACAGCCTGTGGTAAAAATTCTGTATCACCATTATGTGCAGATACTATTTGTGGCACCAGTGCATATTAATTTCAACAGATAATGGTGAAAAACATTTCTTGAAAGTAGCACTCACTGAGGCAGCTGCCCACTTAGATGATTAATAATTAGAAATACTGCTGGCATTTCTAATGTGGAAAGATTGCTTCCTTCAGGAGAGGAACAGATATTTACCATGGAGTGTTTCAGGTTGTTTCACTGTCGGGTCTGGATGTGGGCAGGTCCACCCAGAATCCTGATTAAATTATTTGTTATTGTCAGTGTGCACATCAAGATTTGTAGAGGTGTGGAGGGAGCTGGGGGGCTCAGCCTGGAGGTTTGGGGGGACCTGGCTCTGCCCAAGTCCCTGACAAGAGGGGCCAGCTGTGCTCAGCTCAGTTCCCTCTCACACAAATGGAGATCTCCATTTATTGGTTCAGCACATCAGCATGAAGTGCAGAGAATGTGGATCTGGGTGAACGTGGGGCTCATTTTCTACAACAAGCTAATTACTGCTTAAAAATTGATGAAAATCTGATGGCCATACAGGTTTGCTGAATTGATCTCTGGAGGCTTTAATTTTTTCCTTCCCTCTTACTATTTTTTTTTGTAGCTCACTGAAAACTGTCTCTGTAGGCTTCTCTCTCTTTTCCTCCCAGCTTACTGAAGTTCTTTTCCTTAATGTTACCTTGGTAAAGACTTCGCTGCTTTAATATATAATTTTCATTGTGACTTTCATTGCTGCAATTAAGTGGCTAATTGAACAGTTTATAATGTCTGTTCCTAATTGCTTCTGCAATAGGTTAACTGTGAAAGGCATAGAAAATTAACATACATAATGTTGCCTGTGTTACCTTTTGCTGAAAAAAGCCTCAGAGATTGTCTTTTTTTTTTTCTTTATGGGCAAAAAAACCTGCTTAAAATGCTTCAGTATTAAACTTTCTTTGATATTGAATCTTAGATGCTATCTACAGCATAATATGCTGTACTTTAAAAATGCCCATGAAGTGTAAGTGTAGATAGAAGATACATTTGGGATTGAAGTCTAACCTGCAGTAAAAGATGTGAGACTGCAGTTAAACACTTCCTGTCTTGCTTTTCTTGCCAAAAATACAGAGCAGCAATTTGGCCTTTCTGGATTGTCTGCTGTAAGAATAGAGCAAAACTAATACAAGCCTCCAGAAAGCCCTCCAATGGGTTTATCACAGAAGAAATAGAAGTTTAATCTGCCTGTGCTATTTATAATACAACATGGGCTTTTGAGCTGCTTTTATGCCAGAAAAATAGTAAAGTACAGGTCATATGGGGGGGTGTTCCCAGCTGTTCCTGGAGTATGCACTGAATGGAATGGAGAGCAGCACAGTGCAAGAACAAATCTGACAAAAACTAAGAAAAATGCAAGCTTCTCAAGTCTGTCTTAAAAGTTAATTTTTTTAAAAGACATTCAGGGGCTTAGTGTAGCAATTTCATTATTATTAAAAGTATAACATAATCATCATTTCAGCATATGGATTTTTTTTATAAAGCTACAGCAGAATGAAAAGAGAAGCAGTAATATGAATGTAGGTAGAAAGTGTCTTGTTTATTATTAAAACTATTTCTTTATAAGTAAATATTGCTGACACAAAAAAAAAGATTGTCCATAACAGCTGAGTTGGGAAATGCTGCATCTGGAAAGTCTTGGTTTTCAGGTGACTGGGTCTATAAATGTGTTTTCCATATATCTTCCTATTTCCTTGTCATCCCAGTGGTAAAAACTCTAAATAACTTATTTGAACTGTTGATTAGTAGAGCCTGTACAATACTGCTCTCGAGAAGGAAGATTTCTCACGCTGACCTTTTTCTCCTCTGTGTTTAAACTGTTCTCCTCCTCTTGTTCTTTACTAGTTCTGAAATTTACCTGTTTCCCATTTCTAAATCATACTGACTTTTCAGATCTGTTTGATTACAGGCCTAGCTTTGGTCTAGTCCTCTTCCTTGCTGTAAATGTCTTCCATACTGAAAAAAAAAAATCCTTTTTTCAGGGGTTTTTCATTCACTTTATTTCTTGATACACTTTGTTTTATTTCTTCCGTGCCGAAGGGAGGCCTTGAAATTTAATTGCACAGGCAATTATTCTTCACCTTTCTGAAGCTGAGTGCTGACCCCAGGAGTGTCTGTGCTGCGATGGGCAAGGCTGAGTTGCACTGATGCTGCAGAATTTCTTTGGTCTAGACATTCACATTTCACCGTCTGCGAGCACCTTTCCTTTTATTGCACAGAAATATCCTGGAAGCCTTCAGTTTACCCAAGTCACCTCTGTTGCGTTGTAATTTTTATTGGTTTTAAATCTTGCCCTGACTGCTGCGTGGCTCTGTTTGTGTGCAGGGTTCAACAACTCGGAGCGCACGTGCGACAAGGAGTTCATCATCCGCAGGGCCGCCACCAACCGCGTCCTCAACGTGCTGCGCCACTGGGTCTCCAAACACTCACAGGTACCCCCTCAAACTCGCAGGGATCCGTATCTCACACTGCTCCTGCCACGGGGGCCCCACCCAGCTGCTCTGCCTGTGGTAAACAGCTCCTGTTTTCATGCTGGAGTTTATTCATTTATTTATTTGCGGGGAATTTTGCATGGGGAACCGCGCCTGTGGGTGCGGTTTGTGGCGGCAAAATGGTGTTGGCAGGGGAGGGAGGGCAAGAAACACGAGTGGATTGTGCAGAATCATAGAGAAAATGTCCTTCAGGCTGTCAGGTGCTGGGAGGATTTGGCATGGATGCAGAGGAGTATTGAAAGTTGGGAAGGGAAGTTCAGGGAAGGGAAAAGGAAAAGGAAAAGGAAAAGGAAAAGGAAAAGGAAAAGGAAAAGGAAAAGGAAAAGGAAAAAGGAAGGAAGGAAGGAAGGAAGGAAGGAAGGAAGGAAGGAAGGAAGGAAGGAAGGAAGGAAGGAAGGAAGGAAGGAGTTTTTATACACTTAGTGCAGATGGTGCTTCATGGCTCTTACAGACTGCTTTGTCACTTCAGGCTGCTAATAAAGGATACTTAATCTCAAAAGCTAACTGCAGCAATGTCAAACTCTCTTACGTGAAATCAATTCCCTTTTTCCCATATAAAGGGTTTAATTTTCTTAGAGGCTAAGTTTGCTAGAGAATTAACTCAGTAAGAGGTGTAAGTGGGAAAATTGGTTTGTTTGGAAAGCTGAAGAGCCCAGAAGAGATTACTAAAATCTATCTTGGTATCACAGGAGTGATTAATCATTTCAAGTTATTGGGAGCAGCCTATGTACACCAAGTTTTGACTCCCTGTTAAATTAAAGTCGGAATCAAGCAAATATTGAGTTGTAGCAGAAGTGTCAGCAGACTTCTATTACAGTTTTGTGTTACTCTAGGTGCTTATTGTGTTCCAGTTAATATTAAATGTCTTCTATGAGTTGAGCTGATCCTCTATGCTAATTAAAATTTGTGTAATTGTGGAAATGTGGAAAACTTTATCTGTGTTAGGCAATGCCTAGAAGTAGTTTCACTGAATTCTTTTGCAGTTGCTTTTGTATCACGTTTACAGTTGGGACTGCAAAAATACGAAGAGTACAAAGATAGTGAGTTCATTGTGCATTTTCAAAGTGGAAGCTGTTACCTGCACTCCCTGGTCTCTCGCTGCCATTTATTTTTTCTGTGGTAAAGGTGTCAGATTTTAATGCTTTAGCTCTTCTAGTCCATTGTTCTTCCAATACAGCAAATAATTCAAAATGCTTTGGGATGGAAAGTAAGAAGTGCTACAGCAGCAGAGCATATAATCAGATTTTTGTGTTGTTTACTTGTGAGACTAGGGAGAGAGAAAGGACAGGCCTGAGCAAACCAGAAAAGACTGACTAGTTGCTGCCAAAAAATATGGGACAGGACTACTTTAAGGAGGACTAGTGAAGAATTACTGTCTGGCCAAACAGTGTGAAATGTTGGCAGTGAAGATGTAGAGTCCTGGGAGAGCAGTAACTCCAAGCATATTTTACAGTAACAACACAAACTGCAGATCCTGAGCCACCAGTGGCTGGTGAGGGAATCCTGATTCAGTTTCCAAAATGACAAAACAATGTAAGCATTGAAATTCTTTAAGAACAACACACCTACCAAAAATTTTTTTATGTTTTCACATTTTTGTATTGTTCTCTGGATACTTGGCAACGCTGGTTGAGATATCATCTTCATGAACAGCCAAGAGCAGGTTTGATTCTCAAAAGAAAGGGCTGGTTTTGTTGTAAAAAAAAGTTCAAACAAAGAAAAAAACCCCAGCTTGCAGAATAAGTGAAAATAAGTGGATGTTTGCAAAGACAAATGAGCAATTTTGATAATTTTTCCTCTACCTGGCTTTGAATTCGGTTTTGCTGCAAAAAGTCCCAGCACCAAATGGGCAATTTCTCTCTGTGCAGAGACTTTTCTTCTTGCAGTGTGCTGACATCTTTGTGATCATCAGCAGCCCACACCACAACTAAAGATGACCAGCCACACACTCTCTCTTTTGCCAAAATGCCATTTCCTCATCTTTTGTCAAAATGCCATTTCCTTATCACTGGCTGCAAAGAGAATCAGAGTCCATGGCTGTGTAAGACAATTGGTGCAGGGCCTTGTGTTTGCTCTCTTTGCTCTAGAAAATCCTTGGCTGGGGTTTGGAAGGTCTGTGCTGGGCTGTGGAATCACTTAGCTTCCACTGTCTTGCAGCTGTGTCAAAACCACACTTGGGGATGGTTTAGCATTGCTCTATTTTTATTTTTTTTAATATTTATCTAAGCATGGGCAGCATGTAATGTAGGAATTGTCTGTGAGCAGAAAACAGAATCATTAAAATTAATGAATCAGCCTATTCAGTGAGGATGGGCTTTCATAAAGTGGCTTTGTTGTCTTGAAATCATTCTAAACAATTATTTAAAAATCATTAATTGCTCTTAAAACTTGGGTCATACACTATAGAAGCCTCACTTACATTTCAAGTAAATATGCACATGTAGTGCCAGATCTGCAAGCCTTTGTGGAGGGCACAAGGAGTTAATGGATGTCTTGAGGAGCTGTCAAGGCACAGATAAAATTTTGGGAACAAGCCATCCCCAGGTGAGGTGACACATACTTCCCTGCATGAGCAAGAGCAGCCAAACCTGTGCTGCTCAACAGCCAAAACCAGCACAGTATGAAAGGTAGCTTTAGGTATTCCAGATTGTTTTGTTTACATTTCTGTTCTTTTGGTTCCATACCCCTCCTCTTTGTTTTTTGGGTTTTTTTCTCCCATTCAGACACCTGCAAGCCAGCAAATCTTTCTTTTTGCCCTAAATAACAGCAGAGTGCTCGTGTTTCCATTTTGGTTTTGAAATGTGCCTGAGAGGAGCAGAGCAGGATTTTCCTGTTGCAAACAATGAACACACCAGTGATGAGGCAGAGGATGACAGGGAGCAGGAGCCTTGGTGGGGACAGAAAGGGCTCAGCAGGATAAAACTCCCACTGCCTCCTGCAGAGGTGGAAAAATAGGAAGGCAAAAGGGGGCCAGAGGCAGAAACTCTCGGTATTAGTTTTATGTGAGGTCTTGCAGCCTTGTTTTATTTAGCAATGCTTCCTTGCTTTTTATCTAAACACTTGTGTAGGAAAGTGAACCTTCTTCAGCTCCTGTGGCAAGCAGACTGAAGTGGGGCTTGTCCAAGGAGAAAGCTTGCACATCTGGCCCCTCCAGTCTCCCCAGCTCTGAGAGGCAGCTGAGGGCTTGGTCCCACTGCCCTCCCTGCAGACCTCAGCTGGAGCAGCTCTCTCACAGCCTCCTGGCTGCTGGACAGTGTCCATGAATCACTGACGTGGTGTGAGAAGCCAGGTGTCTGCTGAGGAGGGCAGGAGAAGGCTGCTGTAGTGTCCCAAATCTCAGATTGTATCCAGGTAGGAATGCTTGGCTCCTGCCCTGGGCAGAGCATCTCCCCATGGGATGATGGAATTTGATCAGCCCTGCAGGGACACTCCGTGGCCATGGACAGAGGATAATTAATAATTAATGGCCCATGAACAGAAGATAATTAATAATTAATGGCCCATGAACAGAGGAGATCTCCTGGAGGGAGGGTTGGGTGTGGGAGAGATAAAGAAAACTGCCCAGTGAACAGAGGATAACTGCCCCTCCTCTGACAGATGGAAATGGAATTCACACTTACCTTAAAACCCAGGACAGTCACCCAGTGACCACACAGCCTGGGGAGTGGACCATGGCTCATATTTGGAATAGAGGTCATGGTGTGTTCCTGATGCCTGCCCAGCCCCACTGCAGCTCGTGCTCTTGGCCACCCCCATGGAGCTGTGCTGAGCTTCCAGCAGCAGCATTGCCCAGGGAATTACTGACAGGGACATCCCCTGGAGACAGAAGGCTGTCTAAGAAAATATTATTTCAGTTAGTTACAAATTGCATTAGTTCACATGAATTGGACAATTCAATTCCTTCCTATTTCCTTTGAATAAAAACATAGAAAGTCCTTTGTATCAACCCCACTTACCTCATATTAAATGGTAGAAAGTAATGAATCAGATATTTGGTGAGTTTGTACTTAGTTAATTGTAGAAATATTAACAAACTACACTTCACAAGTTACACAGTATTTTGACTACGTTGCAAATTGACCTCAAGCTGCCTTGAAACAACTTATTTCTTGAAGTAAGCCAGACTTATTTCCAGCTCAGGGATGAGTTTTCCAGAAAACCAGTAATAATTCCATTTATCTCTGCCTTCCACCTGTGCCAGCGTTTTGTTGCATGTGAATTTACACAGATTTTGCTCGACACAATTGTGTGTGGTAGGTGAAGTGTGGATTTATGCTTCAAAATTAAATACTGTGGTGGAGGACTGGAGCAGTGGAGTGACTTCACTGAGCTCTGATGGTGTTTGATGTGCTGTGCACAAGATTAAGACTCACTCATCTGCTGCTATTGCAATCATTACCTGCTTTCTTTTTGGCATGAGGACAGATACAGGAAAATTGTAAGGCAATCCCCATCTACTTACAAATATTCCAAATTCCTTGCAAAAAGTCTTTTAGTGGATCTCTCTCCCTTCCTGCCTCTTTCTTCCCTCTCTCCTATCCTTCTTTAGTTCTTCTTACTGGGCTACTCAAGTATAAATCATGTTCCTGTTTTAGCTCAATTTTACCTGTCTGGATTGTTCAGTGTTCCTCACAATGTTCAGATGCAGAATGTTTCCTCTCACTGAAGAACACTTAAGAAAGGTGAGAGGGAAAGCTTCTGGGGTTTCACTGAGCTCATGTCAAATTTTGAAAATGTATTCTGTGTCTAAACCACCAACAGTAAATCTACTGGTTTTAGTTTTAAAATGCATCTTAGCATGGTGAAGTTGTTTGTTTTTTTTTCCCTTGCTTCCTGTTGCCTGTGCTGCACTCTCTTTTCTTCTGGCCAGTGATTTCAAATCTGAGTAATACCCACAAATCTTTAGGCTACTGTAGACTCTAAAGTATATTGCAGGTATGTGACCCTCTAATGAAAAACTGAACCACTGTCAGATTGAAAAAAATAAGTGTCTGCTGGGAAACTGAAGGATTCCTGTCTGACCAACTGTATTGCTTCTCTGATATGTAAATTATAACTAGGAATCAAAAAAGTGGTGTAAAATTATGTAGAGAGCTGTGATGCACATATATCCAAGACATAAATAGCTACCTGTGGATCTAAGTGTCCTATAGTATAAACAGATAAATATTCATGTGTGACACCCATAATACAGCTAGACATAATCAGCATGTATTTAGAGTTATTTAGTTATTTTTTAATTGTACTTAAAATTGTTTGCTAAGTGTTTTGGTGTTTGTATCATTTTTACAATACAAACCTTTCAGCCTTTCTCCACAAAAGTCAAGTGCATGTACATTTTAAATGCAATATTTTCCCTGTTATTTCTTTAATATATATGGCTCATCACACTGGAATCTCAGTACCACTTAGAGAATGGCCTTCACTAGCAAAAGAGATTAGTTCTTAATGCCTTCTGATTCCCACCTTTTTCTATAGTTTTCGTTTTCCTCATCACACTTTGAGAAACAGATTGCATTATTTCAAAAAAGAAAAGGATAAATTTGGATAAAAGGATAAAATAATAAATCCCCAGCAATCCCAGCACAACTATCTTATGGAGATTACTCAGTAAAACAAGTTTTAATGATAATGACCAAATTATTAATTCTGATTATTCTGATATTATAAGAATTAGCATGTAACCATGCAAAAACTGGAAATTATTTGATTTGGCTGAATCTGATAATTATAGGTGAGGCTCTCCCATCCTATTTGCAAATGAAAGAACTTTTACAATTCTAGACTTTTTTGACAAGACATCCTGAGAGAAAATACCTCATAATGAAAAGGGTCAGGCAGTTGTGGTTTGAAAGCTGTGCTTGGAGATGAAACCCTGGCCACAGTGATGTGATCTGCCTGAGGACTTTACCCAGCAGTGCTGAATGAAGATGGGGGATGTGTCACCTTGTTCATATTATTTGGGATATTCCTGTAGCACAGGTTGCAGAGATACCATCCTCTTTCATACAGTGTCTGCCGCTGAGGTAGACAGGAAAAACTCATTAATTACACTGGTTGCTTGGGCTTATGTGGACTCAAGGTTTCTCCTTTCACTAAGTTCTGACAGTTTTGTATTTCAAATTATTTTCTTGCACAGCACTGTCATGTAGGTTAGTTGCATTCCTCATGTTTTCTCTAATTAGTCCCATTTCCATACCCCAAATATATGGAAAGGCTCTCTTGTCTTTCCTTGCTAACAGGCTAAAGCAGCTCCTAAGGGAGGCATTTCAGAGTGTGGCTATACAAAATGTGCTTTAGAAAACAGAGTGCAGTGCCCAGGAAGAATTTTTGCTTATCTTTGAGCTGAACGTTTGATAGCCCAGCTTTCTGTTCTCCAACACCCTCAAATATGGGTAAACCTCCAGAAAAAATAAGACACAGATATTAATCAGTTCCAGAGTATTAATTAGCTGAGGCCCAGGTGAGGGGGCTCTGGAGGAGTGAGGAGGAGGTGCTGTAACAGGAGGGAAATGCCCAGGGCTGGTGATTTCTGACATTGGAGCAATAACCTTTCTCCAAAGTGCTGTGAGGGTGGCTGTGGCATGTCCTGTGATGAGCACTCATTCCCCTCCTGCTCTGAACTCCCATTTCCAAATGAGGCTCCACCTCAGGTGTAATCCCTGCTTTATGCTTTAGCTCTGTCCAGCCTCTGCTCGAGGTCAGCCTTCCCTTCTCACCTGACTTGGTGGCTGTGGGGTGTGCTCACCTGAGCTGTGCTGCTCCCAGAGGCACACATCTCCAGAGCCCCTCAGCACAGCAGGGGCTGTGGGGGTTTTTTGGGAGTGAAACACCACGCTCTTGTGCCGAGGCGCCAAATCTTCCCCATTTTCAGTAACTTTGTGCCTCCTGTTGCCATGGAAATGAGAGGGTCCTGCTTGCAGGCAGCTGTGGGTTATCACGGAGGATCTGTGATGCACCAGGCAGCTGAAGAGATGGGGTTTGTTCTCCTGTCAAAATGTTATAAAACAGCTGAATAGAAGAAATTTTGGAGTCTACCCCAAGAGTTGCCTGTAACTTCCCGCCTCAAAGCTTGTACATTCTGTGTTTGTAGATTGTCTAATACTGTCTGATTTCTCCAAATTCAGACATCAGATGTAAGTGGTTGCTGCGTGTCCCTGAATCTCAGTCCTGTGTCAGGTATCAGTCTGCCCCAGAGGTAATTAAAATGCTGGAGCTCTTCAGTGCAGGGCCAGATTATTTAGTGAACTTAGTGGTTTGAGTACTCCACAAAAAGCAGATTTTCCAACAGGGTGGGTGTGAGATTAGAAACACCAGAGGGGAGGCAGATGAGCGGAGAACCTCAAGGCAGCAGTGAGAGCAAGGGTCCTGCCCTGCTGGGCAGGGGTGCCAGAACTGCAGTTAAACACAGAGCATGTTTTGGGTCTTGGCCAGATGCAAGTGATAATCCAGAAAAGGAAGGTTCCCTGATCATCCCATCTCCACACAGAAGGCAAAAGTCAAAAAGGAGAAAAATCACAGCCTTTGGGAGATCCTACTTTTGTGGCTAGTTTACTCTTGCACCACAGCTTTCTCTAAATATTTTCAAACAGTAGTAAAAAAATTTAAAAAAATAAATAATTCAAACCTAATTGAAAAAGAAAAGGTAAACCCATTATTTTAGTTGTTTGGTAAAACTGTTAAGACTAAAGGTAGTAAAACCTTTTTCTTTTCAGGATTTTGAGCTGAACAACGAGCTCAAAATGAATGTGTTAAATTTGCTGGAGGAAGTTTTGAGAGACCCTGACCTTCTGCCACAAGAAAGGAAAGCTACTGCAAACATACTGAGGTAAATACATTTCCAGTTATTTCACATGTTAACTGTAGGAGAGAGGGAGACAGACTCTGTATCACAGAATTCACAGGGTTGGGTTTCCCTCCAGAGTAATTAATTTGGAAGGATTACTAAGTATTTCATGAGCCATAAAGCAGAGCCTGTTTTAAGTTTCATTCATAAAAATACCTGTATTGGAAAGCTTTGCTGCTGAACAGCTGGCAAGCCATGAGTTCAGCCTTCAAGTATGAGTGAAAACAGCTCTGTCTACAAAGTGTGAATATTTCACTGGCACTAGTTTCAAGTCCATTGTTCTGCCATCCTGAGGATCAGTAAACATTTAAAGACTAAGCAATAATTAAATAAATAAATTAGTTGAAACATCTATAGACTAAGGGGTTATTAAAATAAAACATCATGAAATGCAAAGATAAAAATATGGTGTGCTTTATTAACATTTATGTAAGTATTCTGCAGGTAAACCAATAAGTGGGCAGTAAATAGAATATGCCTGAGTTTTCTAAGACCATTTGACAGGTTTCCAACAGCTATATGAACAAAAAGGTCTGAAAAAATCACTTGGGAGCACAAATATCAAACACAAGATAAAAAGCACAGATAAGTTGTTATTACATGCACCTTTTTTCTTTCATAAACAAAAATAATCTTCCTTTTAATAATACTGTGTATGCTGTTATTCCATGTAAAAGCATTGTTTTCTGTTTCTTTGGAAGAGACAGCAAGTCAAAAGAGCAAGAAGGAAGAGGATGATGTGGATTTTTATGATGCTTGTGACAGCAAAGGTTCTTCTCACAGTGGGTAAAATTACCCTAAAACTTTCAGCTTCCTAAGGAAATGTTTTAAAACAAGCCTGGCTGAGTATTCTGGAGAGTAATGGATTTATAGGCCTTTGCCATACAACAATTTCTTGTACCCAGTTTCAAATGAGCCAATTTCCACTAGCAGTTACATGAAGAAATGGACCTTTGTATTTATGTGTAAACAATGAATTGTCTCCATTTGCATCCTTTCACTGCAGTTCTAGGAAATGGCTGTTATTGTTTGTCCTCTCTCCCCTCCTAGAAATGATTACTGAGTACCTGAGCACAGTGTCTGATACACCAGTGAACACAGTTCATCAGATATTTCCATTTTTACAAATTTTCCCAAATTCAGACTGAATTTTTGACCATTCTGTGAACTGACTTTTTTTTTTGGCAAAACAAAAAAAAAAAAAAAAAAAAGAAAAATAGTTTTTTCTTTTAGCCTTGGTTAAAAACTCCTTTTTTTGTTTTTCAAAGCTGGTGGTGCTGCTAAACATACATGAATGCTGGACAACTTGATGAGAACTATTTGAATCCTGCTTCTATGTGAATTAAATCTCAGTACAATTTCTCACCCTTTCACTGGAAGGGGGAGGTGTTCAGATCACCTCTGGGAGCTGTCTGCTAATTAAGAGTGATTTCCAGAGTTTAGCAAAGCACTGTAACTGCTGCTGGACACACAGGCTCTCAGCAAGGCTTTATAGCTAATTGGGTAATCATTTATGGGATATAAAGAACAATCTTGCAGAATATAAAGATGTAATAATCCTTATAAGATACAAGGAATAATCAGCAGCTGTTTGTGTGTAACTTTATCTATGATGCTGACACAGGAGTGCACATTCCTTTGCTCTTCCAAAATCCTTAATTTTTATTGCACATTCTTCAAATAGAAATATTTATAAGCTTTAAAAATAAGCTTAATTGCTGGTGGGAGCAGGGACCTGCTGTCCTGTGGAGACTGAGCACTCAGTCCTGGGGCACCCAGGGCTCCCTCTGCTTCTCAGCCTGGTGGTGGATTCAGAGGCAGAGCCAGCTGCTCTTTGGCAGCTCAGCTTTGCAGTAACCAGAATGTGGAATGGGGGAATAGCTTTCCTGGCAGGTTGCAGACATCCTTGTACAATTCTGGAGCAGATTTTGTGAGGGGTCAGAAACTAACAGAGTCAGGAGAGGTGGCATTGACCTGCCTGTGTCCTCTCTGACAGCACAACTGCATGAGCCCAGAGGGCAGACAGGGTTCCAGTGCCAGAGGAACACAGCTTTCCCTCCATTTCCCTGAAAGCAGAAGTGCTGCTGTGGTGCAGGAGGAGGCTGTGATGACGTGGGGCTTGTTCTGTGCCCCGTGGTGCCCTGGCTGGTTCAGTAGGTCAGGCCAGGACTGAGCCTGCTCTGCCCTAGACTGGAGAGCTCTGGCTGTTTGCTGCCTGCAGAGATCTCTGTTTGCTGCAGAACCAGCTCCTGCTGACCCACAACTGCTCAGCTTTGTGCCAGGGCTCCCCTGAGCCACCCTGGAGGGCTCCACGTCCTGCAGGGTCCTTCCCAGAGCATCCCTCCCTCCTCTGCAGCACACTGGGGATCCTCTGCCACGTCAGGTTACATCAGTGTTCTGAGCGTGGAGAGAGGGCCTGCAGTGGAAAAAAATATTTCCTGAGTTCCTTCAGCCTTCCGTAGGCTCTGAGGGCCATTGTGGAGGGTTTGCATCACCAAAGAGCCCTGTGGTGGGACCCTGTGGTTACCTGAAGCGTAACACCACAAAACAAAGGTCAGGCAGGGAATGCAGCACTCCTGCCACAGTCTCTCCCTGTCACAGGGGGGATCCTCTCCACCAGAATTCTCTGAATTCAGGCATCCTGGCTCTGTCTGCATGGACAGTGACAGGACCCAGGCAGGGGCTGGTGACTTGGTCTGTCCCCTTGCAGAATGTGCAGAGGTGGTCCCAGGGTTTCTGTTTCTCTTCTGGCTCCTGTTCAGGATCTGGCTTGGAGAAAAGCTGCTCAGCCTGTGCCCTGCTCCTTGGAGAGATGTCATCCTTCTCAACTGAGACCTGTCATCTAGGTCTGCTTAGAGGGGAAATATAAATTACCTGGAACGGAAGGGCTTTTTTTACAGATATTTACAAACCACTTTGTTTGAAGGTTTCTGACAGCATGCTTTCCATGAGCAAGCACAGATCTGTTGTAACTGGAAGATGTGATTCAAAAAACTTTTGTTCAAAAGGTTTCTCTGGGATGGGTTAAAAATGGGAAGGAGTAATCCAGTGGATGTGTCCTTCATAAAAATGGTCACTCACCCGTTTGCCAAGCGAGTGCTGTAAAATGTTGTTGTTCTGCAGAGGTGCTTGCTGCAGGCATTTTGTCTAAAACATGTATTCTATCAGAATTCTGGGTTGCCTGTCAGCTGTCACTGTAGGCCCTGGCTTCCCCACATCTCAGGTTTTGTAGTGTACTCTTGATTCTGAAAGGCTGACAAATGCAGAATGGGCTTAGGACAAGAATTTCTTGTAAAAAATGCCATTTCAAACATTCATGAAAAAGATTCATGCTTTCTGAGGCTTAACACTGGTATTTTCTATGTCTCCCTGAAGGATGTTGGGTACAAATAATGTCTTTTCACAAACTGCCTCAGCCTTTGCATGCGTGCACATCCTTGGAAAACCCATCCCCTTGTTAGCAGAGATCAGAGGAGCAGGACAGGTTGGTTTGTGTTCCAAAGATCCATCAGGTCAGCTCTGGGAAAGGCTCTGTTTGGAACGTGAATGACAAGGAAAATGTTGATGGGAGATGCTGAGCTGCTTCATGCCTTGAGTCATCAAACAAAGCAGCTGGTATTTCTTGCTTGATGGGATTTCTGTTGTGTGCACTGACAGGGTTTCTCTTCAGGGTAAAAATGCTTTTTTTAATTCAGTATCTGTTCTGAAAGCTAGGCAGACCTCCCAATATATGTTTTGCATGAGATTTTATCAGCCTGATTTGCTAATCCCCAAAATCTAGATAAAATTTAATTGATAATGAAGCAGGAAGGTGTAAGTTCAGACAGAACAGTGAATAACTTTGATAGATAATGCTATCTGGAGAAAAACAGGTTGCTTCCAGAAACAGCTCCTCCTCCTCCTTCTTCTTCAGACTAAACATACATGAAATCGAGGGATATGCAGATGTCAAAAAGTGATGGATGAACAATTTTTCAGCCTTCTGTGATCTCACCAAACAACACATTTCAGGCTCTCTAACATGCCCTAGCTTCTAAATATTTTTAATATGCTTTATGTGCCGCAAACAAAGGATGAGACACATGCTTAGTACTTTCAAGTAGACATTTTTTGTAATATTTGGCCTGGTCAGGCATGAACAACAGTGAGAGAGAGAGAGAGAGAGAGAGATATAGAGAAAGACAAAATGCTACCTGATGATTCTAAGAATTAGAAGATATTTATTTTATATTTTCTTCCTTCATTTGTAAAGATACTGGAGGAGTATCTGGAGCATACTGGAGGACACACCCTGTTCTGTCCTCCCTAAGAGTGACTTGGCTCAGGAGAGCCCCTCTGTGCCTTTGCTGTCTCCTGTGACTCTTTCCACAAGGATCTGCCTCTTCCCAGCTCCCAGGAGCTCTGCAGGGAGTGCAGTGGGAGCTGTCCCAGCAGGGCTGGGCAGCCCAGTGAGTGTCCCCAGTCCTCTGCTGAAACTGGGTGTCCCAAGGCTGACAACAGCACAGACTGAAGAGGAAGCTGCTGTTGATGCTGTCAAAAAATTACCATTATTCAGCCTACAGATCTGTTGTCCTCTGCAGTTTTCACTGTAGAATATTTATGCATGAAAGGAGAGTTGGTTTTGGGTTCTTTCATGAGACCACTGTGCTAGGAAACAAACATTTGTTTAGAATGACAGATTAGAAGTCTACATAAAACATGAGATATCATGGTGGAGAGTATCAGGAGGCAAAGATGGGGGGAAGTTGACAGTTCTGTCTTTTCAGAATCCCATGTTTCATGCTTTATTTCATATTAAGCAAATACAACAATTTCTGCATCAAAGGTGACAACCTGATCAAACATAAGCATAACATGAAGTTATGTTTAAGTATCTGAGATTTTAGAAGATTGATGAGAATTCCTGGGGCAGAGGGACAGGGCCTGTGTGGTTTTCATTGCCAGAGGCTGTTGTCACAGGACGAACAACACCTTCCTGCAGGCCCCCAGGCATGAGGAGCAGCACAGAATAAGCTGCTCTGCAGGACAGATTGGCAGGCTATTTACAGGGACTGAGGCTGCACTCCTTATTATCCGGGCAAGAAGCTTAGGGTTCTCCTGGAGAGGTAAACACGCCTGGCCCTGCAGGCACAAGGAGTTTCCAGCCCTTATGGGGAAAAGAAAAAAAAAAAAATTAAGTGTCCTTTCTGACAGCCTTGTGCATTCTGACCTATGTTCCTTCTCGAGGTTCCAGCCCTTATGGGGAAAAAAAAAAAAAAAAAAAAAAATTAAGTATCCCTTCTGACAGCCTTGTACATTCTGACCTATGTTCCTTCTGCCTAAATCTTCTCACTCTTGTATTACATAAATCCAGTGCTGTCACGGTTTCTTTGTGTCTGTAATTGCCACATGAAGGGTAAGGTCCTGTAATTGTGTGCCAATATGCTACATCAGGGTAGGTGTTCGATCAATACTTACTTTTGCCTAGTTAATTTTTGACCCATTACTGTAAAATAACCATAATAATCACAGGTTTTCTGTAGCAGATTTGGAAACATTCATTAACGCTTCTATTGCTGAAAGGAAATCATGCCCTTGCTACAAGTAAAAGCTGCATTTTGGTGTCCATTTCCACACACAGAGCTCAGCGTGGGACACTGAACTGGACAATTTCCACGGTTCATTAGCTGAGGGATCTTAAACCTCCATGGAAATATTTTGTCCTACGTGTCTCTGATGTTGTAACAGTTTACACATTTTTACTTAAAGCAGGACACGACTTCGTAGGCTACAGATTCATTTTTTGCCTTTACCTCCTCAATTGCAGACTTAAGATTTATTTTAAATAAAACATTTTGCTGGACTGTGATAAGGTTTTGTCATAACCATGGACAACTTTATTTACATAGGATGTTCTGCCACTTTATTTTTCAGGACTCTTTCTCAGGATGATCAAGATGATAACCATTTGAAAATAGAGGATATAATTCAGATGGTAAGTTGATCTTGAGAGTTAAATACTCCTAGAGAAATGTTGTGTGCTTGAGTCAATAAAATGTAACACAACTGCAACTTGTAACATATTTCTGGACAGATACACTGTTTTTTATACCAGGAATGTTGATTTCCATTTAGAGATTGTAAGATTTTGGAGCCCCTGTCAAAAATAAACACGTCAAAACTTTACTATTTGGATAAAATCTCAAGATTTAGAAAAAGGGGAAGATATTAATATATGTGAAATTACAAGTGCAGAATATGCAGAGTTTAATTAACCCACATTCATACTCCTGAGCTGCTGTGTGCCTGTTTTATGAGTTTCCAGCCGGGTGTTTGTGCTGTCTGTGATTGTTGTTAACCCTCATTTCTCCTGATCCCAAAGTCAATTACAGCCCCTGGAGGGTTCCCAGGCAGTTTTGTGTGCCCTGTGGCCCACGGAGAGACCCCTCAGAGCTGTCCTTGCTTTGCAGCCAGACTGCCCCAAGCCCGAGTGCTTCGAGACGCTGTCGGCCATGGAGCTGGCGGAGCAGATCACCCTGCTGGACCACGTCGTGTTCCGCAGCATCCCCTACGAGTGAGCACATGGATCTGGGGTTTGGACAGCTCCCTGCCCTTTCCCCAGGCCTCTGGCAGCTTTATGGGGGTGGCCAGCACCCCAAAACCCACTCTTGTTCACAAGTTATTTAATAATGGCTGGTTCGGTCTGTAAGAGAATAAAGTATTTATTTAACAGACAGAAAACTAACACACGTATGATTTAAAACTAATGCTACACAGGTATAAGGGCAAAAAGAAAACTATTACAAGTATGCAGTGTAAACACACCTCACACTGTGTACCTGTAAAAGGTACCCATTAATATTACAAGCCCCACCCAGCTGAGCGCAGCCACCTTTCAGGGAGTTTTAGAGTGATAGGGAGACTTCCCTGAGTCTCCTTTTCTCCAGGCTGAGCAGCTCACAGGGCTCGTGTTCCAAGAGCCACCATTTCTGTCCTGCTCACCTGGGGCTTCTCCTGCCTTGCCCGTTAATTCATGACACGTTAGAAGGGATTGTGCTCCAGCTCCCTGAGCCCCTGCCTCTCTCCGTGGCCAGATGAGCAACCTGGTGGCCTCTCAGATCATGAGCTACGCCGACGTGCCATCGCGGGCCAGCGCCATCGAGAAGTGGGTGGCGGTGGCCGACATCTGCCGCTGCCTGCACAACTACAACGGCGTGCTGGAGATCACCTCGGCCCTCAACAGAAGTGCCATCTACAGGCTCAAGAAAACCTGGGCAAAGGTGTCCAAACAGGTGAGAGGGACGCGACGCAGCGGGCGGTTCTGGTTCCGTCGCCCGCCGTGCCCAGGGGGGTGAGGCAGGAGCTCTCCTGTGAATATTTCTGCTTTGACACCTCCTGGGATGCAGGAAATGGAGAGGTGGAAACTTCCACAGATACTGGGGGGTTTGAGGTGCAGCCTTGGACGAAGCTTGGAGTGATGTAAAAATGAAAGTACAGAGAATTAAGCGGAAAAGTTATAAACTTGTGTTTTTGTCGTTGTATGAGTATACCTTAAGTGAGTGAGAAAATGTATTGGGTAAGATAGTGAAGGGTTTTGTAGTGTAGTAATGTAATTGTACAGAGTAAGGTAAGTGTTTAGATGTTATAATAGAGCATTTGTGTGTACCTGTAATTTTATATATATTATTTTATACTAGTATATGTATTAGATATATTACATATAATATATAATGCTATATGTAATATTATATAAAAATATATGCTGTATTTATTATTGTGTCTATAATTATTATAATTATATATATATAATTATATGCAATTTTAATATCATTTTATCCCATTGGATAAAATAATCTGCAGTGCAGCAGAATTAAGTAGAGGTAGTAGGTTAGAAAAACAAAATAACCTTTATCACAACTTACCATTGGGTTTGAATGTTCTATATTGCCTTGTAATGCAGAACTTGTGACTACCCTGACCTATGGCTGACTAGCTGCTCCTCTAAAGTCTCACAATCTTTGAAGCTGGAGCTGATGTTTATCCGAGTAATAAATTGTTTTTAGCCCAACGGTAGTCCCATCCCTTCATTAATAGTTGATAGTTGATAATAGTGGGACTGGCATTTTCTGTCCAGGAATTTTGCATGTAGTTTTTTTAATCTGTGGGAACAGATTAAATGTTTTCAAGGTAATTGGCAGGTGCCAATTGGCCTGAACAGCTGAAATGTCCAAGTAAACTAAAGTTAGGTAATTTCTGATAGACACATCTGGGTGGTTACAAACTGTGGTTGAAATCTGGTCATGTGCCTAAAATAGGAACAGCCTGTGCAGAAAGCCTTCTGGAAGGCCAGAACCTCTCCAATTCCTGGGTTTTTCTACCTAGAAAGAGACCATTCATAAAAAGTCTTTCTGATTTAGGAGCTCAAGTTTGGGTGCAGTGAATACTTCCCTTAAACCTTTACCTGGCTGCTGAGAATGTCAGCAAAAACTATGAGAATGACTGCCAGCCACAAAAGCAGGGCACACACATGAAAAAAAGGCCTGTCAGGATGAAGATGATTCCAGTCTTTTATGTTCTGTGTTCTAAATGGTTCAGAGAAATACAACTGAAATAAAATCTGACTGTACCACCTTCTCCATTCAGCTTTTTCTCATCTGCTTCACAGCTGGTGCTCTGTTCTTCTATTTAAAAATCTGTTAAAAGTTCTTTCAGTGCAAACTGCTATGAGTGAGCTTCCCTCCAAAAAGTTTTACAGATAGAAATAGTTTGATATTTAAACTTTTCAATAAAAAAAGAAGAAACCAAACCCACAGCAGATTGATGTTGTGGCACAGTCCTCTGGTACCTATTGGGAATGTGATCTGGGTTTTTCATCAGCCTGCTACATACAAGAAAGTGGCTCTGTCTGCCTACAGCTCTCTTAATTGGACATTCAGTTTCAAATAGGATGAATTTGTCATCATTCTCTACGCTCAAATCTCAAGTCAGCAGCATAAACAGGCTGAAAATCAAATTTATTTCACTTAAGAAGGAACCGGGGTCTGGTGATGCCCACTGACAGTGATTGGTGTAAGACATGAATATATATATATTTTTTTACAAACTCAGCTTTTCTCTGGGACTTGGAGGCAGAATCAGCTCAGTGCAAGCTCCAAGGCAGTGACCACCCCTTGCTGTCACCAGCATCAGTAAATGCAGCTGAGGATCCTCAGCCACATGTAGGGTCTGTTATGTTCCTGTGTGCACAGTAAACTGAATTCCAGACAATTAATGTAATAAATATGTGGGTTTTCCTCCATTTGCAGGGTAATATCAGCATAAATACAGGTTCTGTTTATCAGTCGTAATGCTGCCTAATCTCCACTTGCAGAAAGACAGGAGGAACTGCAGTAAAGCTAAATTCCTAATTCAGTAATGCCTGTTGTACTACTCTAGAAAATGGGGTGGGGATGATAAGTGAATTACACCTTGGATGTAATCTAATTCCAGTCATTTACATACACCAGCAATGACATTTGAAATGCATTTCCTTCCTAGACAAAGGCACTCATGGACAAGCTGCAGAAGACTGTGTCATCTGAGGGAAGATTTAAAAACCTGAGAGAAATGCTCAAAAAGTAAGCCTCCCTACAGTATACAACTGTGTTTTGTTGTAAACAGTAGATAGGTCAAGTTATAGATTAATTGGCTGTGATTAAACTTCAATAAGTTTTTTTTCTTTTTTTTCGCCTAATAACCTTTTAAATTCTAGGTTGGTTCTATTTGGCAGTATTGTTTTGCTGCACATGCTATGATTTAATACCCCTGATGGGTAAACAGTAGCTCCAGAGAATTACTGAAACAAATTAAACTATTTTTCTGTGTGAACATTCCCTGTTGGGTTTCACTTGCACTGATAAACTTTTTCAATAAGTGTACAGCCAGATTCATAGAGTGAAGTTTTTATGAAAAACAGGGTTGTTCTACTTAAGAATTTTAGGGGTTGGGACTAAGCCTGTGTCAGGTCACAGGCCCATTGGTATGACAATAAATTATGTTTCTGACAAGAAATTATGAGAGGAACATAGACACAGGACAAAGGCACAGGGATATTTCCTCTCCTGTGGCCTCCCAGCCTGCTGCAAAACAGCCTGCTGCTTTTGTGCAGCAGTCCTTGAATATTGTTTTCTTTAATTGATTTGCCAGATTGTGTTTGACATTCTGTAATTTTGGTATCCAGAATATTCCATGTCAAGTGTTCTACAATTTATGTAGAGCTGATTTCAGCCGTACAAAAACCTGAATTTTTGTGAGTTTTGTAATTGGAGGCAGGCTTTTCAGAATCGAGTGGCACAACTACCTCAAGTGAGGAGCTGAGAACTGAACAGCCAGAATAATTAATGGTCTATTTTAAAAATGCCATTAAGATTAGATATTGGGCAGAATGCATTCAGATTATCACAGGCAGAGCAAACACAGCTCAGGCAGAGCCAGAGGAGCTGTTTGTCCTGGAAAGGAATGCAACCCATGGATTAGAACTGGGCAAAGTAATAAAGAGTTTGTGCAAGTTAGAGAAAAATGCATTTGGAAATGTAGCTGCAGGAAAATAAGGTGATTTGCTCGTTTACAGCTGTAACCCACCTGCTGTTCCCTACCTTGGGATGTACCTGACTGACCTGGCATTTATTGAGGAAGGAACACCCAACTTCACTGAGGAAGGCCTTGTCAATTTCTCCAAAATGAGAATGGTAATTTCCAGTTTCCTACATGCTCCGCCAGCAGGTGTTTAACTGCGTGAGTTAATGATTGGTTTCACTGAAACTCCTCTGAATTTCCCTTTGGAGAAGCTGCTTTGGTGCTGTGCTAGAGGCAGCCTTGGGAGAGCATTTACTCGACCCAGTCTTCTATCCCCACCTTCTGGCAGGCTGGGTGATTTCACAGGCTGATTTTGTCCCCGGCTCACTTTCTCAGAAAGGACAGCAAAAGCAGCTGCCTGGAGCTCGTGGAGGAGCAAGAAAAAGCTTTTTTAAATAGCCAGAATTACAGGAATGCAGTGATTCACCAGGAAGCAGTAATCACAATGTTCTTTTCAAAGCGCGCTCTGCTCTATCTGAAAATAAGTTAGAGAAAAATGCATTTGGAAATGTAGCTGCAGGAAAATAAGGTGATTTGCTCGTTTACAGCTGTAACCCACCTGCTGTTCCCTACCTTGGGATGTACCTGACTGACCTGGCATTTATTGAGGAAGGAACACCCAACTTCACTGAGGAAGGCCTTGTCAATTTCTCCAAAATGAGAATGGTAATTTCCAGTTTCCTACATGCTCCGCCAGCAGGTGTTTAACTGCGTGAGTTAATGATTGGTTTCACTGAAACTCCTCTGAATTTCCCTTTGGAGAAGCTGCTTTGGTGCTGTGCTAGAGGCAGCCTTGGGAGAGCATTTACTCGACCCAGTCTTCTATCCCCACCTTCTGGCAGGCTGGGTGATTTCACAGGCTGATTTTGTCCCCGGCTCACTTTCTCAGAAAGGACAGCAAAAGCAGCTGCCTGGAGCTCGTGGAGGAGCAAGAAAAAGCTTTTTTAAATAGCCAGAATTACAGGAATGCAGTGATTCACCAGGAAGCAGTAATCACAATGTTCTTTTCAAAGCGCTCTATCTGAAAAGCACTTTAAAGTTGATGTCTCTCCCACTGCCATGTAATGCTGTTTTGTAACAGCTCCTCAGAGGGAGGCATGGAAATTTCTGCCCTAATCCCAGCTTAATGTCCACCTTAGGGCTACGCTCTGTAGAGTCACTCGAGGCAGAGAACGGGGAGGTTTCATTGTGGGCAGAGTGGTGGTTCACTCGGGGTTGCCTGAGGAGTAAATGTTTGATTTGGGAAAGTGAAGTCCTGGGGAGCTGTTGGGATGTGATCTCTACTCTTCCCTTCTCTCCTCCTGACAGAGGAGGAGTCAGCAAAGGCTAACAGAGACACAGTAAAGTCTTGTCAGGAATGGAGTGTTATGGCTGTAACTGTGACAGACAGTGATCCCTACCAGTTCTACAAATAAATAAATATATAAACTTCCTATAATGAAGTTATAAATTTTATGTATGTAATTTAAATGGAACAATTTGGTGCAGAATTCTTGCTTTGTGTGTGCCTCAGCTGAAGCACAGCTGTGTTTGAACTTGTGTCCCTGTGTTCTTTTGGCAGATCTCACACATCATCAGGGAAATCCGCCAGTTCCAGCAGACCTCCTACCGCATCGAGCTCCAGCAGAAGGTGAGGCTCCTGCCTGCTCCTGAAACCAGGCTGTGGCAGCAGGCACTTGTGAGGCACAGCTGCCACTGAAAGCTGAAGTTGGTGTCTTCTGCTCCCACACGTGGAGGAGAGGACAGACAGACACACGGATGGATCCTTGGGGTGGTGAGACCCTCACCCCACAGGACCTCTTTGATTGATGCCTTCCAAAGAGGTTTTTTGCTCCTTTGGAAGGGGATTGCAGCCTTGGAGGGTGTGAGGGGTTCAGAGGGAAGTGTGTTCTCCCTGCCCTGAGATCCTGGGATGAGGGTGAGGAGGTGCCCAAAGCACCTGCTGGTGCATCCTGCAGATCTTAGTCTCTTTGTCCTTCTCAGGAGTGATGCAGCTGAGACCAGAGCTGGTCAGTGCCTTCAGAGAAGGCTCATCTCAGACTCCACAAGAGCAGCTTGGGCTGAAGTATCCTGGCAGAAGATTTGCCCATTCCTAACAGGAATTAATCCTAATTAATTCTCAGAGTGCTGCAGGTGCATCCTCATGCCAGCAACATTCCAAGCAGCAGTTTGGTTTCTCAGTAAAACAACACAATCTCAGGACCCAAAATGTGCTGCAAGGGAAGGAAAGCTGGGAGGTTTCTGTGGCAGTGCCATGCAGCCTGTCCACCTGTGTTTCCCCACCCCAGGTCACTCACTACCTGCTGGACAAGACCCTCATCATCGACGAGGACACCCTGTACGAGCTGTCCCTGAAGATCGAGCCGCGGCTCCCCGCCTGAGCCCCGCACAGCCCTGCAGACAGCTCTGGGACCACGCCTGCCGCCACCCAAACACAGCCAGAGGAACTCTGAGAACACAGTGCCAGCTCTCTTCTACAATAAGAGATACAGAGTCTCACTGCCTTTCCCTCTCAGGCAACACAAACCAGTGTTGGAGGTGAAAGGCAAACAGCTTTCCTACCCGGCTTAAGTGATTTCTGCTTTGCAAAGATCATGTTTGGCACTAGGGACCACGATTTCCTGGAAATCAGGAGACTTTCCTGTGAACAGGCGCTCACTGCAGCCACCTCACGTGGCAAATCAAGGGTACAGATTTAAATGGTGGTAATAGACCCAGGTGTGTGAGGATAAATAAGCAAAGTGAGGTGGCTGGGCTGATGGCTAACTATGTGTTCTCTGAGGCAGTAATGGCTGTGGTGTTCTCATTGTGTTAATTTCATTGAAAAAGCAGGATTTTAGCACTCATCTACTGCTTTGGAGTGATATCAAGACCGCATCTAGTAACGTCAGGTGTGCAGTTGTTTGAAATACCTGCTGTACATTTAATGCTACTCGTTACAAAACATTTCCTTTTTAAATGTCTCGTCAGCCTTCTGTAAGGTGACTGATTGTATCTATACAGATGATTTGTAAATATGTTTTCCATCAGTGGGAGTATTTACAGCATGGAGAGAAAATGGACTGGTGGAACAGTTGTAAATAGTTGCCAGCTGGGAGGGTGAGGGACCCAGAGGGGTGGTGCAGGGGATGGGGAGTTGTGTTGCACACAGCTCTGGAAGAGGCACCTTATTTTCCTGCATGAGTCAGGCTACAGAGCACACTCTGGACACACTGTGGAGAGAAATGCATGTCTGTCTGGCAGCAGGTGGTGATCAGCAGTGAACACTTGGAGCTGCAGTGACAGTTTCGTTTTGTGTGGAATCAGTGGTTTGAGAAACGTCTGTTTTTTGGTTTTTTGGTGTTTGTTTTTGTTTTTGTCCAGCCATTTGGCGTTGAGTTAGCTGTAAAACTGACGTGTCAGTGGAAACATTGAATGCCAGCAAACACAAAGTATGTATTTTTGCATACAGGTAGCTACCACTTGCTTTTGTTTGAGAAAATGTGCTTTTTATAAATGTCTTCAGAGCCTCTGCTTTTGTGACATACCAGGTGGACAGATGTAATTTCTACAGTAGTTGTTGTACTTCTTGTATTTTCCTCATCAAGAGTGGCCTGTTGTAGCTGCATGGGAAGTGAGCTCAAATGCTGTGAAGGGCATCATAGTACAAAACACAGGTGTTAGCACTGTTGAAAACAAAAATTGGCTGGAAAAGTGTCCTTACTTTTCCAATGATCACTCAGCCAGTTGAAGAAATAGGGCTATATCACCGTATACCTCCCTTAAATCCTCTCAGGGAGACAGATGTTTAAAACAGATTGTGACTTAGGCCTATTTGATCTGACATATCTTACACAGTCGTGATGCTTCTTGACGCTGGCAATGAAAAATGGACCTGCCTGGCTTGTGGTTGTTGTCTTTATTTGCACTTTAATTACATTGCTGGCCCAGCCCAGAGCTGCACAACGAGTTCCATTTGTTCTGTCTGAGTGTGAGCGCCAGCATCTACAAATGTACCTTAGCAACTGTAAATTTCATTAAGGTCCTTCTCCACAAGGACCATCTCCTTGTAAATAACTGCATGGGGAGGTGTCACAGAGACTGGAAAATTCCTCCATTAGAAAAGCAGACAGCAGGAGAGAAGGACATGCTAGGAACACTTTAAATAGTTCTGGCTGATGACTGCTGTGGAAATGTTACTTATAGAAGCTTTTTGTTGTTAAAAAAAAATGTGTTTGTTTCTTCTGGCTAATGATTGACAAGAAGCTGATTGCATCCCAGTGCATGATATGAGGAGAAAAAGAAAAAGAGCATGGTTTATTTGGACCACAAAACCAACTGGCTGTGTATTCTCTGTACAAAAGCAGTTACTGTTCAGTAGTTTCATAAAACACTTGGAAGTAATGGAGCAACAGAGAAAGCGTGGTCCAAAATGTGATTTCTGACGTTGTGTCTGTTGTTTCCTTGTTAGCAAAGAAAACGTGTTACAGCTGTCAGTGTGAGTGGGCATCTCTGTTGTACGCTGTCAAGTGCTGCTTCACCTGCCTGTGCCCGGATTTTACCAAATCTCGATGTTCTGAGGGTCGCAGGGTGCAGATCCCGGTCGTGCTCCTGTCAGAGCTGCTTGCGGTGTGCTTGGCGCGTGTGTGTGCTCCGTGCATTTCAGCGCTGGCTGGCAGGGCTGGGCCCGAGGGGCTGCGCTCGGAATCGCTGGAAATGGGCTCGTCCAGCCCCTCTGCGGTCCTGCTCACATGCCAAAGGTTGCCTCTCGCCCCAGCGGCCGCTTGAGGTCAGAACCGGGAGAGTCGGATGCTTTGATCTGTGTTCGTAGCAACAGCAGCAAAACTGTTTAAAAATTGTTATGGTTACAGTAATAATGTGCGACTTGCTGATGGCTTCATGTCGATGTTTTTGCTTGGGGATACAATGCTTTTGTTAAAGCGCAGGGAAAAGGGAGGACGCGCCCGGTCGCCCCCAGCCCTTGCAGCCCGCGGGCACAGCTGGCAGCAGCTGTTCCGCAGCTGGGTTGCGGGCTGCGAGCTGCACCTGCGGGCGGCCCGAGTGCCTGTGCGGGAGCCCTGCTGCCTGCTGGGGCTGTGCGATGCCCGGCAGGCAGCAGCAGCGCCGCTCCGTGCGGGGCTGCGCCCGCTCCCGGAGCGAGCGGCGCGGGCACACAGCTGGCTCCGCGCAGCCCTCTGCCGTGTCGGCAGCTCCCTGAGCACTCTGCCTCCGCGCTCCCGCTGTCTTTTGGGATCTCCTCCCGGCTCTTTTTCCCGCGGGAGCCCCGCAGCGCGGCGGAGCGAGCGGAGCAGCCCCGCGGGCGAGGATGCCCCGGGCGCAGGAGGGCCGGAGCGCCTCGCCACTTGCCTTGTGAGCCCCCAGCCCTGCCGGGGGCTGCCGGCAGCCCGGCGGGGCCGGGCGGCCGTGGGGATAAAGCTTTTCCAGCCGCTGCTCCGCCGCCTCTGTAGCAGCCCGGGCGGGGCCGCGCTCGCCGGGAGCCGGGCAGCAGCACCGAGAGCGCTCCTCACACGCTGACACAGGGTTAGAGTTGCCTTCACCCCCAGCCTTCACCCTCTGCCCCCGGAGCCAGCGGTGCTGCTGGCCAGCGAGCCCCCCGAGCGCTCGGGGTGTCGGCGGCAGCCCCCCGGCTCACAGTGGCAGTGTGTGCTCCATCTGTCCCCCTCCTCCGGCTCGTCCCGTGGCCTCGAGGTGAGAGGTGGCACTGATCACCCTGATTTCGGGGGTGAGGAGGAGGTCCCCGTCCTCTTTCTGCTTTCCTAGTCTTACTGATGATTGTTCTGTAGGGTTAAAAGGAACTTAATTATTTTAATTATTTATTAATTTAAACCGTGTTGATTTTGATTTCAGAACATGTTAATTATCCCGGGTTTTCCTTCATGTGTGTTATTTATTTTAAGGGTTTTACAAAGACCTTGATTTGTTTGTATCGACATTCAGTCTTTCATCCTTTCACTCTCAGCAGCAACACTAAACCCTGATGATTTACAACTCTCACCCCCTGTGACATTTTTACCCGCTCATAATTTCACTCACCAAGGGCAAAACCCTTCAGACCTCATTCTGATAATACCTTAGGCTTCACCGAGAGCTTTTCATAAGTCTTTGGGGATCTGGCTCTCAGCTATTTGCCTGTTACAGTGTTTGCCTCCAAAGGTCAAATGTCTCTGTCTAGGATGCTTCATGTCCAAAATGCTGCTCAGTGAAGGTTGTTCTGTTGTACCTGAGGTAGTCTCTGAAGTTCTGTTACCTAGGGCAGTAGATGTGTGTTTATTTGACAGATGTACCTGTATGGAACGTGTTGCTTAGTGCACAATCCAGATGTTTTTGCATGTATTGCAACTTCTGACCCGAGGTTATTGCTTTGTATTGTTAGTAAAGCATACCAGGCCAGCTGTTGTGCCTGTGTGCTAATAAACATCCTTTTCTTTCCCGAGTTTCAAGACTCCTCACTGGAATTTCTTATTTCACGCCTTGTCATGAAAAATCCAACCTACTCCTTCTGAATTACCAAGTCTCCTAGAAGAACAAGTCATTAAAGGGGGATAAAGGTGAAAATTTCAGTAATGGAAAAGAATGGTTTGAATTACTGTGTTTTACTCTTCTTTTTCACTCACGATGCCTTGCAGCTGCCAGGGGCATCCCTGCTAAAAACTGACACTGGGTCTGGGCTTGTGTCTGCACATCCCTTGCTTTCTCTGGGCTGGTGTCCTGGCCTGGATTTAAAATAAATTCAAAGGTACATTTTATCCACAGGAAAAGGCAGAAAACACAGTGGTTTGTAAGCAGGTCCTGTCCCTCCCCTTGTGATGGGAACACGAGCCACGTGGAGATAAAGTGAGTTGCAAATTGAAGAAAATGGTTGACAGAGTTTGGGAGTTCAAAACAGGTCTCCAGCTGGTGTCACATGCTTTAATCACAGCTCGTCTGTGTTTAACTCAGTAATTTCATGAAAACAGAAAGATTCCTCTTACACTTGTTTAAATAACATTTTAAATGAGTAAACAGCAGTGGCACTTGCAGGTCTGTGTAAGAAGGAGATACAGCAAGTGACATAATGAAATCAGCCTCCATTCAGTACTCTGTGACCTTGTGGCCACATCTTCTCCATTCTGCTTACATTTTTGGTGTTTCACATCAAAACTGAAATTAACTGAGAGACCAACTTACCCTTGAAGTTGTCAGCTACTGTCAGAGGAAGGAAATAAATTATAATACTTCCCAGGCAGCCTTGTTTATAAGTGCTGCAGGATCATTTAATTTCAAGTTGTTTTCCCAACACTTTAAAACATAAATTTTACTTATGCCAAGCAGTTGGCTGTTTATATCTTTATTTTAAGGCCATCATTTCAGGATCACAGACTGGTTTGGGTTAGCAGAGACCCCAAATCCCACCCAGTGGCACCCCAGCCATGGCAGGGACACCTTCCCCTGTGCCAGGCTGCTCCAGCCCCAGTGCCCAGCCTGGCCTTGGGCACTGCCAGGGATCCAGGGGCAGCCCCAGCTGCTCTGGGCACCCTGTGCCAGCCCTGCCCACCCTGCCAGGGAACAATTCCCATTGCCAAGATCCCAGCCAGCCCTGCCCCAGCACTGGGAGCCATCCTGGACTCTCCAAATAAATCAGGGAGCACGCAGCCCTCCTCACTGCTGACCACAAAGGAAGCAGGGGAAGCAGTGCTTAGAGGCTGTTCAAAATCCTCAGCTCTGTGGAGAAATTTGTCTTGACTGATCGTGCAAAGGTAACAAACAAGAATTGTGAAGACTGAATTATGCCTTCAAAGCTGCACCCCAGTATTCTGGCCCTATTCCTGTATAGCCTTAAAAGGAGTCAAATTTGAGAAAACCACATTTTTGCCTGAAATTGCAGTTTCAGAGAGGACTGAGACAGTGACTGGTGCTTGTTGCAGCTCCTGGCTGCTGGATACAGCTCTGTGCAGGGAGGTTGGCAGCTGTGGGCACAGCAGAAATCACCTCAAATTTGTTTCCTCAGAGGTGGCACCTCCATTGTGAGACACTCTGGGTCGGGTGGGTGGGCCAGAAACAGAATTATTGCTAAAAACGTATCTTCTCTCACCCCTGGAAGTTTATAGCATTGGGAGCAATACCTACAAATCACATCTAGATCCCTGACATGTTTCATACAGAGCAAATCCAAAACTTTTCCAGACAGAGGAGACACAAACTCTTATCAGTAGCTCATATTCCATTTGAAATAGTAATACTTTGTTAATTCCATTTTGTTTCCTCCAAAAATTTCATATCCAATGGGAAAACCATCTGAAAAAAGGACACTTTTTCCCTTTTCTAACTGCTCCTTCCCGGGTTTCCATGACAAAGAAATGCTGGAGCACCATGGTGGAAAGAGAGAAAGTGTCCAGAGTTCAAGACTGAGCTCTGTGGTTCTTGTGACACCTTGTCAGCTGTGGTTTTCTGGTCACTAGTGGTTTGAACCCCCTGATAGTCACCATCTCAGAATTTATTCACTTGTGTCTGCAATGCAGCTGGGGAAAAAAAAAAAAAGAAAAAGAAAAAGAAAAGGATGACTTCTTGAATTCAAAAAAAAAAAAAGGGGGGAAAAAAGGGGGGGGGGGGGGGGGGAAAAAAAGAAAAAAAAAAAGGATGACTTCTTGAATTTTGGAGATTCCTGCTTTTCCAAAGGGTCACTTCCACGTGCAGGAAAACCTTTTCTCCTCCCTTTAGCCAGAAAACATGCTGCTAATTATAGACAGCCTTTCCTCTACTGTGTAGTGGATGTCCTGTGAAGAGCAGCTTTAATGAGTTAAAAATAGCTGGGGTTATTTTTGAGGCGTTGGTTGGGCCTGGTTGAGCTCTTTATTTAGTGGAGATGCATTATCACCTTGGGGAGCCTTTCTCTGCAGGAGTCACAAGGCTGGGATGACTGCCCTGTGCCTGCCTTGGTGCCCATGACTGGCACCAGGAGCTGGCTTTTCCCCCCAGCCCCTGTGGGATGCAGCCTTGGATCCCCCCAAAAAGGGATTTTTTTCCCCGGGCTGAGCCCCCGGAGGCTGCGCAGTGTAAGGGGATATTGAGCATCCACAGTCACGAGGAATTCTCAGGGAGAGGTCAGGGTAACCCCTGGGTATCAGCTGTGCTTGCTCTGCTCCTCTGCCTTGTTCTGAATCCCAGGAATTCCAGACCCATGGAGCTGGGAAACCAGGACCAGGGGACAATCCAGGCTCCAGTACAGAAGGACATTGTGTCCAGTGGCTTCTGCTGCTCCAGTTTAGCAGAGCTCTGACTTTTCAGCAGGAGAGACTGATCTGTGTCCTTGCCAAGTTCCTCAGGACACACACAGCCCCCTCCAACCCCAAACTCCACACACAGGATTTGTGAGCACAGATCCCCACTGCTGTCCTGGCTCCTTTCACTGCTCATGAAGTATGCCCTGCACACGGAATCTTGACTTCAAATTGATTTTCTTCTAAGTAATTGTGGCAGTCAGGAAGGCCCTTCCATGAAACACCTTTGCCTTGCAGGTCACTCCCCTGCCCAGCAGCTCCCACAGCAAACTCCAGGTGCTGCACAGGTGGGTTGGCATGAAATGCAACTGAATCAACACTGCTGCCTCCCCAGCATCAGCAATGAAACCACAGCAGCCCTGCAGTTGTTAGATAATTACATTAGAGATGAAAATAGGGGGTTATTTATGGATGATCCTTGGCGTCCCAACTGTTCCAGCAGCTGAGTTTCTCACAAAGTAGACCACAGACCAGCAGTAAAGCCAAACTATTTGTTAAGTATTCATGATATATTCCTCAGAAATCATTAGGGGACTTGCTAACCATGGTTTTTCCTGGTGTTTGAGCTGTAAATTCACAGTATGGGGTTTGTTTGCATCCTCTGTTCTCCCAAGCTCTCAGCTGGAAAATAGCTTGAACCTCTGCCTAATCCAGCCAGGCACTTCATGCCATCCCCTGCTTCCAGGGGAAGTCCTGGTCTGTTCAAGGCCTTCATGGGAAAAAGGTGAAAAATGCAAAAGTAGGTGTGTGCCTCCATCAGGAGCCGTGGATTTGCTGGGCCCCAATTTCCTTACTCGTGTTACCTCAAGAGATCCACAGTTGGTTTTTTCCTCTGTCAACAGCAGGAACACACTGTTGGGTTGATGAAAATCTGGTGTGCTCAACAGGCTGTTTCCAGATGCATTGCTCTGGAATGGCTGCTGTGGTTTTAATTAATCTGGGTGTTTTTTGGTTTTAATTAATCATGACTCCCATTAGCCCAAAAAAGACATGACATTTTGGGGAGACATGTCTGTGTTTTGCACGGTTTCAAAGTTCTGAAATGCAGGTTTAGGATGATCCCATGTAAAATTAAAAGAATATTAAATGTACAAAGGGACAAGTTGTTTTGTTTTTTTTTTAAAAGCTGCAGAGTGCTGGCGTCTGTGCTCCTCTGTCAGCCCTGACACATGTTCAGCTCTGGTGGGAGCAGAGCCAGGTGAATGAAGCTGATTATTCTTTCATGGTTTCCAAACCACCATGTGTTATTTTCTGCTGTAATTCACTCCTACACAGCTACAGAGACGCAGCAATTCTAAATGCAATATAGTAATACAATAACAGTAATTCCACATGAGAGGCTTCAGAGGCCACTTCATGTTTCTGGGCCCCCTCTGCATTACAAACAGCCAGGAATTAATGCCGTGAATTAAAAAGTAGTAAAGGGGAGGGAAAACAACCCCAAATTCCCTGCTGTGCTCTCAGCCCCCTGCCCTGACCCGTTCCCATGGGGTGGGAGTGAGGAATTGTGGCCGTGGCGTCCCTCTGCACAGGGCAGGGCAGGTTTGGCCAGGGCTGACCTTGCCCTTTGTTGTTTTTTGGTTTTTGGTTGTTTTTTTTTTGCCTGCTCCTGAGCAGAATATATTTCTCTTTTCCACCCCCTGTCCCTGGGGCAGGACCAGCTGCCCTGCCCGTGCCCATCTGTGTCCACCCCTGCCCGTGTCCGTCTGTCCGTCCGTCCGGAGGCGTTTGGGGGTGCTGCCCTCTTGTTTCAGCAGAGACCCCTTGTGTGAGGACACCTTTCCTGAGGCTCTCAGCTCCTCAGGATGGGAAAAATCCTAGCAGAGGATTTTTCATAAAATATCATGACTACACTGCCCCATCCTGCTGACGCCCTCAAGGGCACCCCTGTGCTGGCAAATGCCACTCACGTAACCCAGCCGGGCAGGATTGGCCCTGGCTGCAATTATTTTGGTTTCCCTCGCCTCCCTCTGCCCGTCTCGGGTTACCTGGGCTCCTGTCCCTGCCCAGCCCCAGCTCCCTCCACACTCTGGGCTCGCTGCAGGCAGCAGGACGTCCCTACCTCCAGCTCCAAGGTCAGTGACACTGCACATGCATTGCTTTTTCCAGCCTCAAACTGCAGCATTTCCAATGCAAGGGCTGTTAAAAGGTGATTCAAAGCAGCACGGTGGTGTTAA